TGATGATTTTTAGTGATGTTTCTAGAGATTCTAGAACTTGAGCTTAATTTTGGGCATAATCTAATAACTAATAATTATTTTATAAACCCAAAATTAAGCTTAATCCAAAATCAAGTTTAACTTCAATAAGATCTCCAATGTCTTGAGTGTAAACCGCGTTTCCTTCATCATCTAGCCTGAACACCATTACAGCTCTCGTTTTCATATACACCGCCGCACCTCTAGTGGTGGCCATCCTGTAAAACTTAACCAAGAAAGTCTCACCGGTGGATGTTGACTCGACCAAGTGTTCCTCCAGATCCGAGAATGCGAAACGTGTCATGTTTCTTGGAGAACATGACTCGGGAGGAGTAGAAGCAAGGGTTTTCGATCCTGATGTTTCTCCACTCCGGTTTGTTAGCGGGTCTGCAAAAGCTGATCTGGGGTCCCAAGAACTTGACAGCCACGACACAGTCTTCATCCTCTGGAGAAGAAGAGGACATGGCCACGTTGGTGACGATATGGGTTTGGCAATGAGGCAGAGTCACAAGAGGAGGCAGAGGGATGCGTTTCGGGTCTGTATCGGACGCATAAGGGTTGAGATCGTCTTGGAGACGCAGGATCCCGTCGTCCTTGAGAGTAGCTACCCATCCATGAGATGCCCCGATCGTTATCCTCTCATCACGATCAACAACCTCGAGGGGCACCTTCTTTTCCAAATCAATAGAGCGAGATCCATTAGCATTCATAATCACGAGCTTCCCGAGATCCTCATCCTCTCCACAGGGATGAGCGGTGACGGTCCAACAAGGAGGGGTTTGCGGCAAGGAAGAAGAGAAGCCATTAGAGAGGAGAAGAAGAGATGATCTTTTCACTTTCAGGCTTCCCAATGCAGAGCTTCGATAGCCGGCTGAGAAGCAGAGACATAGATAGATATGTTGTCAAATGAAAAGCAAGATTATTCCTAAAAGAAACAAGTCCAATAATTGATGAACTGAGCAATCTTCTTCACTGCAAAAAAAACCCACCATATTAAAACAGTGGAAAGACCTTAGCCTTGCCCACCAAGTTTTTTTATTAGTCAAATATTCGATATTTTTACGAGTTTATTTGTCAAGTAAATATGGAAAACAAAATCTTGCTAAACCCAGCTGTTTTAATTGTTAGGACAAAAGAAAAAAAATAATTGATGTCTCGTGCCGTAAAACGACGTCGCATGCATATGAATATCCCAAGTTTTTATTAGTCAAATATTCGATTTGTACGAGTTTATTTGTCAAGTAAATATGGAAAACAAAATATTGCTAAAAGCCTAAAACAGCTGTTTTAATTGTTTGCACAAAAGAAAAGAAAAATTGGTATTTGTCCCGTGCCGTAAAACGAAGTCGCTACTAATTAAAGAGTTGGTGAATGTCTCTCTGATAACATAGATATACACAAAGTCTTAGTTATTAACAAAACGAAAAACATACACTAACGTAAGAGAGCTCTTTGTAACCTGTTAACACTAGCAAGTTGCAACACTCTTTATACTCTTCAGCCAACTCCCTCTCCGTCTATGCTTAGTTACTCTGCTTCCACTAACGTTGGTATTCAAATCCACAGAGCCTTTACAAACATCTTCGACATTTTGCCTCCTCACGAGCTCGAGAACGATCGGTGATGTCCCAACACACATCCAGAGTCAATTGCCGATCGGTACCTACCTAAGAGATGTTTCTATCGGCTCTTTGCTTATGAAATCAACTCCCTTGTTTGCAAGTAGGATCTCTGTTGAATACAAATAGCTCAAAACTCAAAAGCCAAACTTTATGTAAAGAGATTAATGAACTGTGAATGTAATACGATTTCTTAAATAAAAAAACCATATATATAGTCGTCAAAAAAAAAACCATATATATATATATATATGTCTGTCTATATTTTACAAAAAATAAGAGTGAATAAAAAAAGGACTTCATCGCTTATATTTACATTTTTTACCTTTGTAATTAAACATTCTACACGTAGAATAAGGATAATTAAAATAAAATTCCATTTGATGACGTTAATCAAATTTCAAAGCTTTTTCTTATTAGTTATCACACCAGTCCCTTTTTTATTTTTAAGAAAACAAAAAATCACAACGAATAAAAAATAAGTAGAAGGTGTCGATGATGAAAGAGAAAGTAAAATTTATATATATATGCATTTTCTTTTTATTAATACTCGCCCTGTATTATCCCTGGGTAGACACCTGTCAGGGCAAACTAGCTCGTCCATGATAGAAATGTTTGGATGGGTCACGGGTAATATATACTCTCTCTCATCAAACAGATAAAAGGTAAGCAATCACAAAAAAATAAATGTTGATCATATCATTCTAAATATCTAATATTTAAAAGAAAATTAAAACTTTCTATACTATTAAAGTTTCGAATGGTAATCGTGTTTCTCAAAATTACAAAATAAATTTTAAAGTACAGGATGTGTGTTTTGCAAAACAAGTGTAAGTAATGCTAAAAATACATTTTAAATTAATTTATGATTGGTAACATTTACAAGTGTGGTATAACTATAATAGTTTTAAAATTTTGATTATTTTTAAAAATAATTCATATAACCAGTATAAATAAAGATGTATCAATTTATATAAATAGTTTTCATAATTTTCCCCCAAAATTTTAAAATATATATTTATTAATTATATACAAATTTTTAAGAAGACATACTTTGGTAGTCTGGTTATATTTAACAAGTTTTTTAATGAACATAAATGATCCAAATATTGTTCCGATGGAAAGAAAAACTTATGATTAACTTTTCATAAAATTCCAAACAACGAAATCTTTATAATTTTACTATGTCTAACTCATTTGAGATTAAAATTCACATAGATTATTTTTTCTATTATTTGAACAACACATAGATTATGTTGGCAGGATCCATCGAGTGTTTCGTATTTTGTAAAGTAATTCTGCCGAATACTATGTACGTATATGTTAAACTAGAAATACTAGGTTTTACAAAAAAAATATAATAAACTAGAAATACTACGGAACCTGAAACCTTTTTTTTTTCTTAGCCCTCTCTTTTTGATGGCATAATTTTTTGTTATTATAATTAAAAAGATGAAAGTTATTTCTATGGGTAGGAAAATATAAAAAACAAAACTAGCGAGTGAACAAAAATCATCACAAATGCAACAAGCATAGTGAATTACCTGATATGATATTAAAACCAGGTTTTCCAAAATAGCGCATGCTTCTATATGCGTTAAAGGTAAAACGGAACCATGATATTATGAGAAAGAAGAAGATAAAAATATTGAGAAAACTTTTCCTCTTAGGATATTTTCTTATATAAGCCACTCTTGGCGACACACGTGTAAAGCTAAGTTTTTTTATAATTTTACTATGTCTAACTCATTTGAGATTGAAATTCACACAGACTTATGTTGGCAAGATCCATAACGTAGTTGATAAGTAATTCTGCCGAATACGTATATACGTATATGTTAAAGGTGTACAACAACTAGGGTATCAGAAAGAATATTGATGTGGTTGCCAAATGATAGGATAGCTCAAGGCAAATGGCATTGTACATTTGTCTCTTTTCATAAAAGGTTTCGCATATACTAATAAAGTAGAAACACTTTTCGAGTGGCCTACAATGTAGACCCTTTTTTCTTGTCATTTTATGGTACGGAAGCCTGAATCCCCTTTTTTAAAACACACCATCTCTCTCAGACCTCTCTCTCAAGTTTCTCTCCTCTCTCTCTCTCTCTCAACCTTTTAGAAATGTGGAAAACAATTCTTAACGCCGCCGGTGCTCTCCGCCACCGTGGGAAGAAGATCTTGCAACGTCCTTTGGTTCGTTTCACCTCCAAGGCGAACCAGGTGATCCAGACCAAAGCTGAAGCGGAAACCGCCGAACGCATACGGCTTGAGGAAGAAGATGCTTTGGAAGATGTAGAAGTCGAGAAAGTTGCCGAGGGCTATAGGAGGGATAAGAAAGACAAGAAGAACAAGAGGAAGGAGGAGAAGAACAGGAAGATGGAGCAGTATAGGGCCAAGATGGAGGCGAAAAGGGCCAAGAAGGAGGCGGAGAAAGCGGCGGTTCCAGATCCCAAGGCGAAGACGGAGGCGACGGTTCCAGCTCCGGAAGTGACTGTTCCAGCTCCGGAGCCTCCATGATTCCCCTAGTAAGAGACGAAGGCGTGACTTCACTTTTCACTTATGTTTAATATTTCTCGATTCTTCCATCTATGAACAAATCTGAACCGTTTAGGGATTTTTAGTTTTATTTCTGTTGGTATCAATTGCTAAGAAGAGTCGCATGTGGATGATTTTCTTAACTCGTTGGCTTCACGACATGAAATATATCAATATATATAATCCTTAAATCGACTACCTTTTTCTGCGTTTGGGTTTTGATTTTAACAATTTGGGTTTTGTTCAAGTTCTGTGTTTTTTCTTATTAGTGTCATTTCTTCATTACTTCGTATGGATTGGATCTCGAATATTGTCTTATTAAGTAGTCACGCATTGTCCATACATAGTCTCCCAAAGCTATGTTGATCTAATCTACTAGTCAAGTCAAAAATAGATGATTTTATAGTAAAAACTCTCACTATAAATGACAAAGACGATAGAGTCTTTTCCGAAAGAAACCTCACGAATCATAATAAGCCCTATTCTTATTCTTATTCGTTTCTGTTGTGTTGTAATGAGAGAGCTAGATACACCCAACAATGGAGAATTATTCATTTTTGATTAAAACAGAACTAACTTCTGAAGATTATATACACAAGCTGTAATTAAGAAGAAACATAATCTATCTTTTGAGAATTGATGAGAGAGCCTCCTAGAGCATATGCATATGAACCTCGTACAGGGAACGACAGACTCAGAGTAACGTGACAAATGCAATATCTCAAAACAAATGCAATATCTTCACAAGTGTTGAGATAACAGTAAAAAAATTTCGTGAAGATATATTAAAAACTACTCATGACACTCCGACTCAATCCCAAACACTGGCTAGTCCATATTTTGAGGTGGAATATAGTAAGGCGCCGTCCACCTAACATTTTTACTAACGATGTGCCATTTCAGATTGATAAATGCGTATTCGTCGACATCCAAGTATTCGACGCTGTTAGAGGGCATGCCAGGGAAGGAGCTAGCAGGGACACAGAAAGGTTCAGACATTGAGATGAAGATGCAGAGATCTCCAATGTCTTGAGTGTATACCGCGTTTCCTTCATCGTCTAGCTTGAACACCATTACAGCTCTCGTTCTCATATACACCGCACCACTAGAAGTGGCCCTCCTGTAAAACTTAACCAAGAAAGTCTCACCGGTGGATGTTGACTCGACCAAGTGGTCGCTGGTGCAACACGAATGCAAAAGATCCCGTTTGGTCTTGGTCAGCTCGGGAAGGTTTTGAAACCTCAACTTCTGAAACTTGGGTTTGTTCTTTTTTGTGCGGAGATCCCATGACCCGATGATGTATCCTCCAGCTCCGAGAATGCGAAGCATCTCATGTTTCTTGGAGAACATGACTCGGGAGGAGTAGAAGCAGGGGTTCTCGATCTTGATGTTGGTCCACTTCGGTTTGTTAGCGGGTCTGCAAAAGCTGAGCTGCGGTCCCAAGAACTTGACAGCCACGACACAGTCTTCATCCTCTGGAGAAGAAGAGGACATTGACACGTTGGTGACCATTTTGGTTTGGCAATGAGGCAGAGTCACAAGAGGAGGCAGAGGGATGCGTTTCGGGTCTGTATCGGACGCATAAGGGTTGAGATCGTCTTGGAGACGCAGTATCCCGTTGTCCTTGAGAGTAGCTATCCAACCATGAGCTGCCCCGATCGTTATCCTCTCCTCATAACTAACAATCTCGAGAGGCACCTTCTTTTCCGTTTCAGTGCAGCCAGTTCCATTAGCATTCAAAATCACGAGTTTCCCGAGATCCTCTCCACAGGATTTAGCGTAGATGATCCAGCAAGGAGGGGAAGAAGAGAAGCCATTAGAGAGAAGATGAAGAGATGATCTTCTCACCAAATCAGGTTTCCCAAGGTAGAGCTTCCGTAGCCGGCTTAAAAGCACAGACATGACGACTAGGGATATCTTAATGAGAAGCAAGAAAACCCTAATTAAAAGACCTTGAAAGACAAGTCGACCAAGTTAATAAATAAATAAATAAAGGCCTTTAAAGACAAATAAAATGGCCTTGCCAACCAAGTTAATTCTGGTTATAATTCATATTTTTGGATATTTATAATTTATGTTTGGGCGAGTAAATGTGGAAACAAAATAATCTACTATATATATCTAGATGTGGTGGGCACGTGGCAAATATCATATATTTTGGGGTATCCGTTCTGTCTGAATTAGCATTTTTTAATTATTTTTAAGGAGGACAAAAAGTGAATCCTGATACTATGTTTGCACAATTGTCCATTGACATTAATAAGAAAAAACATATGCTTATAGACTAAGGAGTATCTTCAAGGTTATCAGATTTCTCATTGTGTATATGGTATAATTAGGTTAAGCCTTGCGATAGTTCGGAGGCTGAGCACTCTCTCGTTACAAACTTCTAGTCAAGTGAAAATACCTTAGAGACATTAATGGGCTTTTAACAATCACGGCAAGTTTTAGTTAAATCAACCCATGAATGCTTTTGTTAAGCCAAACTAAATCTGTTAATCCCACATCGGAAATAGTATTTTAAGTTCATAGGTGTTGTTTATTTAGATATAAAAGAAAGAGGTCTTCGTTTGCTCAAACTTAAACTATGAATATTGTAGGCCTTATCCTGAATGTAGCGTGAAATATTGAACTATGAATATTGTAATTTGTAGGGCAACGAGGTACTAACGGAGGTGCGTCCATTGCTGCTTGAAAACTATTTCTAAACCTCCTCCTGCAAGGGCTTCCTTCAGGACAAGGCCCTACAATATGTCTCTTTATAGGATTTTCATACGTAAATTTGTCTGCCATTTAGGAAATTTCTGATTCTAAATCTGTGTATATTAGTTTTACACAGACATGAGTAACCTGTTAATCTCGAAATAATGATTGGGAAATATTGGTACTTTGACACTTATGGGTTTGTCTTTTGTCCCACACTATATGATCATCGTGGAAAGGGTTAAGCAATATATTGAGCAACTTAAGTTGTAGGCTTTTAACAATGAACATAATTTTATTTTTATCCTTTTAAAAAATCAGATATATATTCAATGACTAAATCTGTAGCATTTGTTGACCAACGAAAAATTGATGTGTAGCATTATAACAGCAAAATATATGTACTCAATTTTCTTGATTTCAAACTGAAGAAAACACTATTGTCTAAGCGTCGTAAATCAAAAACTAATAATACTGAACATTTGCGAGCTGAAAGTTTCATCCATTTTTTCTTTATGACCGAGAAACTTTTATAAAGAAAAGAACAAAAGGCTGTTTTGTCAACAAATAGAAATAGCCTTCTACAAAAAAACAAAAACAAAAAACAAAAAGAAATAGCCAACACACAAGGATTAAGTACTAACTCAACTCATAGTTGTTAAAGGCTTTATCGATCGATGCATCTCTAACTAGTAATACTAACTCAAATAGATACGTACGTATCTCCTCTTTTGTTTGTTTCGCATCCTTAACCCAAATCAAAGGTTAAAAACTTAAAACACAGATCAAGAGAGATACTTATGATCAAATTTTAGGCCAAGCCCTCTCGCTGAGTTCCCAGACCTTACGAGCCATCTCGACATCACTAGCTTCTTGAGACAACGGATTCTCGAATGAAGACGAGGTCTTGTTCCAGCTCCAGTACACTCCCAACTTCGTCAAGCCCGGATCACTCACCACCTTCAACGAGTAAATGTATTGATTGTGTCAAGAAAACTACAATGGTGTAAAAGGTTTTTTTATTGTTCAAGATGCGACGGCAATCGCCTTATATACAACAATGATCACGATATAACCTAGTTTGTATTACATGGGCTTAAGTTTAGTATACGAAAGCCTAATAGGCCCAAGGTGGAGTGTGCAGATTACAAATACCCAGCTTGCCAAGAAAATCTTCAAACTCTTTTCGACCCTTTCCTTATATTAAAATGTCCACGAGTTGAGACTTTGTAGAGACATGCTTTGTGCGAATGGTACCTCAAATGATTTCGTCCCGTATAAAGTGGCAGTCCATCCCCACATGTTTTGTTCGGACATGAAAGACCGGATTAGCAGCTAGACTAATGGCGTACAAGCTGTCAGAATGAAGAAGTATGGGAGCCGAAAAAGTATGTACTCATTATGAATTAGATTTGTTGAAGAGAGAGCAACGAAGCTTGAGGTCAAAGATAGAATTTAAGAAGTATAAGATCTTGTATTAGTGGAATTGAAATCACAAGATCGAAGCTTAACCTTTTAGTAGTTGGGTAGAAACTCTGATACCATGTCAATAAAACTACAATGGTGTAAAAGGTTTCCTTATTGCTTAAGATACAACGGCAATCGCCTTATATACAACGATGATCACGATATAACCTAGTTTGTATTACATGGGCTTAAGTTTAGTGTACGAAGGCCTAATAGGCCCCAATAGATTGGTTACGCCGCAAGAAACAGAAAGATTTTCTTGCACCACAAGCACAATCAGTTTTGATTAGTTTTTTTACCAGAGCAAGTTTTTTGCCAGCCTCTATCTCTGAGACATAACCTTTGGTGATGTATTTCTGAAATGGAGGGAAGAGGGAACGGAAGAGAGGAATATGCTCTCTGAACAATCATGTGGTCGCAATACAACCAAGGTCAAGGGAAGTGAAAGTGATGTCAGTTTCTTCATGGAAACGCTTATGAAACTCTTGCATCGTCAATATGTTGCAGACTTTACTGTCTTTATATGCCTTTGCATCGTTGAAATCTCCTCCATCTATTATCACCGAGCTGTTTATCCCATTCAATCCCTCTCGATAGTCCCCTTTAATCCCCGAGATTCGCCTTCGGAGTAGTAAGGTCCTTGGTGATAGTAGTCTTGATGTTGCTAGAGTCGCTCTTGAGGACTAATGAATGTGTTAGCTCTATAGTTAGTGGTTGGTTGACCATTATAGATGTTGTTGAAGCTTTTGTTGTAACCACTTTGCCCAAAGACATAGTTGATTTCTTTTTGGAAAAGTCTCTCTCCTTCTTGGTTTAGAGCATATATAGTCTCCCATAAGGTTGACTTGTCTTTGTGAATTTCGAACCATGTCAGCCATTTTCTCCTCCAGTTCTTTCATTTCCCTCTTGGTAGCCTCTAACTCAGTATCTGCAACCTTTGAAGCTCTTTCATTGTCTTCACCATAGTTTCCATTGTTTTGTGCTAAGTTTTTAACTAAAATCAAGTCATCTTCTGCATCTTTTCCAAAGAATTATCCATTGCTAGCAGTATTTAAGAGTAGCTTTATCTTAGGAAGAAAAACTCTATATAGAGTAGAGAGAAGTGTTTCCTTCTAAAAGCCATGATATAGGCATTGCAATGTGAAATTTCTAAACCTCTCACAAGCATCGCCAAAGCTTTCATTTGGCCATTGACTGAAATTGGAGATCTCATTTCTGAATCTTGCTGTTTTTGTAGGGGAGAAAAACTTAGTGAGAAAGACTCATTTACATCGCTCCCATGTAATGATGCTTCCTTGGTGCAAACTTTTTCCCACATTAATTGTGCTTTATCACCAAGTGAGAAGGGAAAGATTCTTAACTTAAAACCATCATCAGAGATTCTATTTAGCTTTGTAATAAAGAAAACTCTCAAAATGGCTAAGATTATCTAGAGAATCTTTATTTGACAGTCCAAAGAATTTGTTGCTTTGTATCATAGCAATCATTCCACTTTTGATTTTTTAGTAAATTGTCTCTATAGAAAAGAGGATACTTTGCCTTGAAACAAAAGAAGTAGGCCAATTTCCAGCTCTTATTATAATTTATTACCTTTGATTCATGATTCTCCTAGGATTTCGGTTTATTAAATTCGGTTAGATTTGAAAATGAGATCCAAAAAATCAAAAATGAATTGATTTTAATCAATCAAAATGCATGGAAATTGATTTTATTTTGTTTACTTGTAACAATCAATTTCCATGCATTTGATTTTGAATGAAATACATAATATGTTGGGCAAAAATGAAATTATTGCTATCTTGATTTTTGGCTTTCTATCATTTTAATACATTATTTTATAAGTTATCAATCACAAAAAATAACAATTAATAATTTTGAAACATTATTTTAATTGTTACGAACTCATAGCAAGAAGGCTATACAAGGGTAGGAAGCATAGGAGAGTAGGAATCATGCACGAGAGGATGCTATTTTTAAATTTTTATCTAACTCACATCGATACTATTTTTCAGAAATGTTGCAGGTGATTAAGTCGATGGCTTTGATAACCCAGCGCAAACACCTGTTTGCAACTGCTGCAACGTCAACTGGTCTCAGAGCCTTGTTTTCCATTGTAACAGACAAGGTGATCCAGCAGCGAGCCAATGCCGATTCTCAGGCTAGGAAGCAGGAACGAGAGGCTCAAGAGGAGTAGGATACAAATTTCGAAAAAAAATAGTTACTAGCAGAAGAATCAACCTTCTCTCAATCTATATACACGTTTGACTAGAGATGGTTTTACTAACTCATAAAATCCAATCAAGATTCATGGAATTAAAAATCAGAATCACAAAATTAGAAATACTTCTGACTAGAGATGGTTTTACTAAATAGAAATCACTTTGCCTTGGGCTTTTGATTCGTACAAACTTTCTCCTTTTGCCTCAATCATAGAGGTAATCCAAAATTCTGAAAAATTCTGATTTCGCCTCTTAAACCGCCTATAACAACCACCATAGAGTCATAGACCAAGCAGAAGCACTCGGTTTTGTGAATAAGAGGATTTATTCACTCACCGTAGTCACTATGTGAGAAGACTTTCAAACATGTCTTGCGAGCGCAAAATGATTAGAATAAATAATAAACCAACCAAATGATCTTTTATATTTATGAAAAGGAGACAAAGACAGTTCCCCAAATCATTATTCCAAACAAAACAAAAAGGTTAAAAAGTTTTAAACGATAACGAAAAGATCTTACTTGTAGTTGTTTTTTTTGATATATCGGCACATTTAAAAAAAAAAAAAAACTGAATCCTTTTAAGCACGTTTCATAACAACCATGAAGATGACGCAAACAGCTAATCCAAAAAGAGAACGAGGGTCGTTGTAAAACGTCTGCTTCTTCTCTTTCCCATCCTCTGTAACAGATTCTGACCCGAAGAAACCACCAAAGTAGGATGAGATGTTTTCCATCATCCGAACAGCTTTCAGCTTCATGTCTCGCAGAATCTCCAAGATTTCGATTGGCTTTGCTTCACTCTCTTCACTCTCTGTGGTACCCGAATCTTCAGATTTTTCGTCATTGTCTGATTCAACCTGAGAGGAATCAACTGCAAATAGAAAAAAAGTTTCTAATCAAGTTTGCTTAATCATAATAAGACATTAGAAACACCAGAAGGAAGTTCCTTTTTTTTAATACCGGTATTGTTGTTGGTCTCGAGAAATCTCATGAGATCCTTGTTTTCCATTACAGCACCCCACACCTTTGGGTCAGACGCAATGGAAGCAACAACAGACTGTAATAAACAGAAGGAAACCAAGGTTTAGTTAGACTCCTATAAACTTTTGTGTGTGCACAATTCAAACAACAAAGTTTCTATTTTAGTGTTGCTGCCAACACAAAATTCAAAAAAGAGAGAAGATCCATATACCTGCGCAGCAGTGTTTTCACTCAGAAAAGCAAATGCTTGAAGAGCAACTTGTGGAACAGCTGATTCAACAGCTTTGTTCTCAGAAGCTTGAAAACTCGATAGCATTTTCGAAACAGAACCACCTTCATTTGACCCATCCAAATACACCCTAACACATTTTTTTGGATAATCCATTCATATACAATAAAAAAACAGAGTTATTATACATACAAGCAAAGAAAACAGAGTCTTGACTGTTTCAAAGTGAAAGACCATTTTCTTTTCAAACAATACAATTACACATCTCACAAAATTCTTCTACCTACTCGTAGTCTAACCTCAAATAGAGTACGAAATGGCTATGACTAAGATGAAAAACTCAATCTTCACTCAGAAAAATCCAATCAAGATTCATCGAATTCGAAATCAGAATCACAAAATTCGAGTTTGAGAGTCAAAGAGAAGTAAACGATTTAGGATTAATCTTACAGATTGATTGCCTCTTTGAGATCTTCCGTGGCTTCTTTAGCCTCCTGGAGAGTAGGAGGTTTGCTGAAAACAACCCTAGGAATCGTCGCCGGCTCCTCCTCGGCGAATTCCCAATCGTCCCAAACCGGCTTATGCATACTCATCGCGTCTTCTTCGGCGGAAGGATGAACCACCGATGAAATCGAGGCGGAAATCGGCTTAGTAGCTACGGCGCTTCTGACCACAAACTGATCATTTGCCGGAGGCGCTGCCCCCGCCGCCGGGAAACCGAATCCACCCCTGAGTCCTCCTTTAGCGACTCCGATTCCGGCCACCTTCGCTGCCGTCGTCATGACTCTTCCTCCTCCCATGGTTGCAGCCGATCGATCACGCGAAAATTCTCTCGATCTCAGAGATTTTGGAAACTCTCGATGAAAAAAGATCTTTGATTGATTGATTTTTAAAGATGGGGAAAAAAATGCCTTATCCGTGAAGTTAAATTGACGTCAGCAAGAAATGGATGGCCGACTTTAATTATTAATTAACCTAATTAGGCCCAATCTTAATCAACGTATTAAGTAGACCAGAGGATTAGTATCTGTTTGGTTCAGTTCTAGTAGATTAAACCAGATTCGGTTCATCGAAATTTTCCGATTTTATCCAGTGAATTATTTTAATGATCTAGAAAAATAACTTTTATTTTGAGCTTTTTTATTTATTTATATATTTTCAAGGTTCACTTCTTAATTCTCATTACAATCCCCCAAAATAATTTGTTACGGTTTAGATTTTATCATCGTAGAAGTTTAATACCAGTATATATGTTTTAAGTTTTGGGGATAAGTTTTGGTATAAATCAATTTTCTTTTAACTATTCAAATACAGTATTATTTATACACATATTATTTAGAGGCCCTATTATTTACTATCCTATTTTGGAATTTTACTTGTCTAAGACGATTTTAGTTTGCTATCCACGTTATACAATGTGCAATAAAGAGATGAATTAAATCGATTTCCAAAATACTGAAGATCGAATCGGATTTATTAGATACATTCAAAACTTTAGGAAGATTTCAGGGTTTTTAATTTTTAGATATCTAAATTAATTAGGTGAATTTAGAGAATTATTGTAACAAATTCAGTTGGTGATTCTTAAAGAAATTTCAGGGGATTTTAAGGTAGAAAACAAAAGGATCCACCTCGAAAAAACTAAACTGTAATTAAAAACAAATCATTAAAAAAAATTATATATTTCTAATGCAAAACATATCTTCTTCATTTCAGTAAAAAAAACATATCTTCTGCTTTAACAAACCCTAAACTAGAATCGCTAGTTTTATCCACTTAAAGAATCAAGATATCACCTGACACTAATTATAATATAATTGTAGTGGTACAGGCTTCACTTTGTACAATAAGTTATGCATGAGTACTATTTGATTGACTGACATTTTAAAAATATAATCCTAGAATAGAACGAAAAATATGACCTTCTCCAAATAAAGCAAGCGTAATAACAAGGCAAAATTTGCTAGCAAAAACCACAAACAAATCTTCAAGTCTTATTGTATGACCTTTCTGATTCACATCGTCTTCACCGTTGATTCACATTCTTTGGATATGAAGGGGGAAAAAAGGAGAAGATGAGGTCTCATTTGCGAGATGAATCCAAATTAGCGAATATGTTGGGCAAGAGAGGATGATTCATGTTCTTTTACAAATTTAGGTACGACCCATTTTCGGGACTTCTCTCTTTTCAGTTTACACCCTTTTCTTGTTATAGCCCCAACTTTTAGAAAATTAATAGTGACAGTAGTATATGTAAAATCTGAGTTTTCCAAAAATCAATTTAAACCTTTTAAAGCCAAGATGTGTGTTGTCGATAAAAACTAAACTAATGTACGATTGGAAATAGCCTTGTAAATATCACAAAAACTATATAAAGTTATAAACACGCCTATAGAAACCACTAACTAACTACCAAACTATAACCACTGGCCTATATAAGTAATTACTTAAATAAATCATAGACATCACTAACAAAACATCATGAATTTAGCCAAAGAAATATGAAACTAGAAACAAAAACATAGGATAGACATTGGGAATCTCATCTTTACACGAACCCTCAAACAAAAATCTAACCTACTCATATTAGCATACTATTTTTTCTGATTAGTGCATAATTTGAAAAAAATTCAAAAGGACAATCGACATCTGCACCCTTCTGTCTCATTTTTCATCTTAGAGCTTCAAATCCTCTATTTCTTCTCATCTTTTTCTTCAAACCGCCTGAAAGAGAAACCCAATTTTAAAATCTTCGCTTTGATTAACATACCATCCAAAAAAAACTAAGATGAAAATACTATTAATTAGAGTATGTATGTAATTACTACGAATTAAATTTTATGTGAATATTCTTCCAGTTTCTCGAAGTGTGTTATTTCAACCTATAAAAAGAGAGAACTGTACAGATTGTAGAATATATATTCACATGTTTTTGTATTCATACTATTCTCTGGTAAAATAAAAATAAATCATAAATTTGGTAAAAGTTACTGATCGAATATACTCCTTATTCGAATAAAAAAACAAGAAAGCAAAAGAAGGAAAGGAAATGATATGTCAGCAGTTACAGAGACAAGACTCATATTGAAACTGGCAAATATATCAGACAATAAAATCCAAAAGAGTTTTCAAAGTCTTCGAAAAAGAAAAAAAACACAACCATGACTTCACTGTACGATTTATATTCCCACTGTAAATAAATTTGATTTTGGAAAACGAACTACGTCTGCAAATTCAGTTCTACATTTTTCTCCTGTTGGAGAATTCAATTAAAGAAAAAACTTTACCATTTAGGAGTATTTTTAATGAACACTAAACCGAATGTGATAGTATTAATTTGAGATATTTATATAACTGAAGAAATCCATTTATTTAGCTTCTAAAGAGGATTGAACCATAACCGTTGAAAGCTGAAACATTACAATTACACTCCAACTAACTAACTCTGTAATTTATAACATTGATGCTATCCATGTTACATAGTATTTTTTCTCTTTTGAAAATATCAGTTGTTTGAAAGTAAACACCAAGAACAGATCTGATCACCTAATTATTTGATTTTTTTTCTTCTGTTTTTAAAATAATTTTGTTGGGGGATAAAAACTGATTAATTCAGTTGTGATAGCATCAAAAGGAGGAAAAAGAACCCTCAGAATAATTCAGATCCTTGACGAAAGTTCAAAACCTGGTATATGATTTCGTATATCCATGTATGAGACTTAAATTAGATCGACCTAAATGAAATCCAATTATAATAAGAATAAGTTTCGAACCCTACCAATTAGTTAAGCCAATAAATATAAATATAAATGCAAAAATTTCTAAAACAAAATTTTCTAGATATACATAAAATTTCCAGATAAGCTTTAACGTAAATTAAGATGACGGAAACTAATAAGAAAATCTAAATAAGATATTTTAATGAACCGTGAAAAAAAATTAAAGAAAATTAAAAACGCTTAGTTGTTTTGTTTTTGTTGTACTTGTACCTTGAGGTTTACACTTGGGGGGATCTTCAAAGAGAGACAGAGAGAGTTGTTTGAAAGCAACGCCGATATCGAATATAATGACGCCGGAATCAGGATTCTTGACGACGATATCTTTCACCGACAGCCACAGAAAGAGCTCTTCCTGCGACAATCCTTCTACTCCGACGAGGCTCCCATAGCTCAGATTTGCTCTCACGACGGAGTCGAAGTACACTCTAGTCTCGAATTTAGCAAGACACGGCGCCGCGAGGAAAACCTCGAGACGACCGTCGTCGGAAAGAGTGTAAGAATCAACTTCTTGCGGTAATAGTCCCGCCGGGAGACCTTTTGATCGGAGAACGTCGTGGATCGTCGGAGAAGACGGCGAGGAGAAAGAGAATGAGAGGAAGAGTGTGGCCAAGAGAAGGATCATTCGGGGAATGAGTGTGTTCATAGCTTTTTCACTGACTGTGAGAGAGAGAGAGAGAGAGAGTTTTGTTATAGCTTTTTTTACGGCGATGATTTAATTAGAGAGAGAGAGGATGTTTAAATTATAAGAGGAGGAAGGAGAGAAAGGAAGTTACTTATTTACCCTTGGTTGGTGAGTGCAGTGGGGCCATGTATAATAGATATGGTTAACGTGATTAAGATCATAAGCTTGGAAATTTTTTGACAAAAAATGGAAATTATAAAGTGATTGATAGGTTAGGTTTTAAATTTTTCCATGGGGAGAAATAATAACAAAAGAGTGGTTGGACACACCAAAACTAGCTTAAAAACATTATGAACCGTAGAAAATCAAAAACATAATAATGATTTTTAAGAGTATAAGAGAATGTTGTATTGATAATTAAGTATAGAAAACAATTACAAATGTGTATTAACAACTAAGGCACCTATGAAGGTTCTCAAGTTTCAGTGATAAAACTGTAGATGATTAAGAGAAGAGTATCTTCAACTAGATGTACGAATCTTGTTTATATATTTTAATATTTTATTAATCCAAGGAAAGTAAATTTTTTTTCTAAGATTGATATTTTATTTTTCTATGGACTTTGTATAGTTGTACATATTTAGCCAAAAATGTGAAGAAAAAAACGAATGTGTAAACTTTTCTGATGATGAATTGTAGCATGGAATATATATATATATATATATACTTATAGCTAGGGACGTGCTATGTACATAATTAACTTTGATTGTAGGGTAATTCAACACCTAATGAGTATAGATTAGACACTAGAAATTGATAGTTTAAGGAGTAATACAGAATGCTTCATCATATGAGTAATTAATTGTTTTGTTTTTTCCATTTGTTGGTGATGAAAGCTTCGTATCAAATACTTCTTATCATGATTGTAAAACAAGTAATAAGAGTAGTATAAATTGCTGTATTTTGGACTATATTTGTTGCGTTTTTTTTTTTTACAAATTTTTTTTTTGACTAGCATGTACCGTTAAATAATTCCAAAAAAAGAACAATCAAACAAAATTGTTGGAATTATCACAAAATGCTTATTATACGTTCACTAAAAATGTTAATTTTGATTTGTTTAGCAGTAAACTAATTAAATGAAATAAGGCCACATGAATAGTTACAAACTCACAATTTTGCACTGATATTTTTGAAATTCTCGCCCTTTATATGAAGTTGACTAGTAAAATTAGGTCCAAAATTCAGTTAGATAGCCTTTTAATTAGCCATATTCAACGATAATAGCGCCTTTTCGTATTCAAGCAATCCCACGCAAGCTCTCTGAGTCATCGTGCTTTTGCATGAAAAGGAAACATGTAACGGTTAAATTAGGTGGCAGTAAAAATAGAAGCTCACTCTTCTTCGAAGGACAATATTGTCATTTTCTCCTTCGAATCTAACTCTTACACTTGGCCAAGATTTTATTCAGATCAAATTAAATCTATTTGGAAATCGTAACTATATATGGTCATTAGATACTGAAATGAGTTATAAAATCTTATCTTAAAAATGTGATTAATTAAGGGATTTGTGACTTTATTTGATCACAATTAACGAGAAAAATTACGAATCTACCACTGTGAGAGAGAGTCACGCGGTCCACAGGTACAATAGGGCCCAGAATTGAGAAAATGATTACGTTAACCAATCGGGGGACCGTTTCTACTTGACGGTGGCTAATAGATTCGCTACACGTCGATCTTATGTGGGTCCCATAATACCGGTTACCTGGAGATGAGTTGTCACTCGGTTTTGTAGCGGTCGTTTGTTCTGTGTATGAGACTGTGGTCTGTGGTAGACGCAGCAGGTTATCGGTTGTTTGATTGGCCCACGTGTGGTTCATGCAGTTTCACACGCGTGATACTTGTGATAGCATTTGCTTTTAAATTTATGTTTTTACCTCTTTTTTTTAATTATTGGGACTTTTTTCTTGGAAAAATCATAACGCACCTGCGATACCGAAGATAAATTCAGTTATAACAGTGGGGCCTTTCCATTTGAGAAATTCAAAAACTTATTATTATATCGTCAACAGAAAAAAAGCTAACAAAAAAACTTTTTTTTCTTGAAATTATTGGACCTTTATTTCTCTATCTATTGAAAAATGCAGTTCAACCACCAAAGATTCCAACAGCCGATTTATAAAAATATTTGTATTTTAATTGGTATATCGCAAATTATTCTTGTTCCCTATATTACACCATACACCCAAAACACAATGAGCTTGGTTTAAATCTACACACAAAACAGTAGAAGTATAAAACATATTTGAGCCTGGTTTAAAACTTATTTACACATAAACATACAAAGCCTGGTTTAAATCTGTAGTAGGCCACTACTCATGTGGCCCAAATAAAGCCCACTAAAGGTTCAGGATCATCTTCGACTCATCTAGTTTTCTGCTAAATACAGTTTTACATTCCGATCGACGGTGGTCGAGTTTCTGATGGATCTAATATGCAATTCGTACGCCAATGACTCCGACGACGAACCTGAACCAGTGACCGATGAGCGGTTTGCATCTGGAATCGCTCCACCGTCTATTACTTTGAAGCGTTCATATCCGGGACCGGAGGAGCGACGGTACAAACCAGCACGTAGACCAAATCCTCCGTATGGCTCTTATTCGGATCCCCAAACGAGCTCTTCAGTTTCGGTTCCGATATCAGTTCCAGGTCGATACGTTTCCAAGAGAGAGAGATCGCTTCTAGCTTCTCTTTCAACTGTTTCTAATCAAAATCAGGATTCTGATTTGATTCAGAAACCCTCCGTGAGCTCTCCTACTGGTACTTGCGATCACTCTTAATCCTTAGTGTTTTTCTCTTAATCTATGGTTTAGGATTTGGTGTTAGCTTTGTGCTTGTATCTGGCGATAAATTGTTCTGAAGTCTTCTGCTAATACGTGTTTGAGCTTTCTCTAATCGCAGTTATTGGGAGCATCTCTGATTCAGAAGGGCCCCAACATGTTCTATCTTCGGTCACACATCGAGCAAAAGGATCCTCATGGCGAACCGAATCCCCAAGTAGGATGTCGATTTCGTTAACCGGCCATACAAAGGCTGTTATTGCTATTGATTGGTCGACAAGTCATGGTATGTTCTTGCTGATCCTTTGGCTTATGTTATCTTGCGTAAATTGTATTACGTAAACTCTTTCTTGTCACCAATCTTTTGTTATGTCTCTTGCCTCATTCATTTGTTCATTTAGAGTTCTTTTGCAGTTCATCTTCTTGCTTCAGCGGGACTTGATGGTGCTGCTTACGTGTGGAACGTGTGGAGCAGCGGTACGAAGAAAGTACGAGCATTTCTTCATCACAACGCACCGGTGAAAGATGTGAAGTGGTCAACGCAAGGATTATCTCTGCTTTCTTGTGGTTATGACTGCACGTCGAGACTGTTTGATGTTGAAAGAGGGGTAGAGACACAAGCTTTCAAGGAGGATCAGGTTATTGGAGTTGTTAACTTTCATCCGGATAATTTCAACCTGTTTCTTTCGGGAGGATCTAAGGGCAGTCTTAGATTATGGGACATTAGGAACAACAAAGTGGTGCATGAATACATTCGAGATCTCGGTCCAGTTCTTGATGTTGAGTTTATCTCTGGTGGGAAGCGGTTCATCTCTTCCAGTGATGTGTCAGGCAGGAATAAAAGTGAGAATGCTGTTATAGTTTGGGATGTTTCAAGAGAGGTCCCTCTATCTAATCAGGTCTGTTTACCCTTCTCCATAACATTCTCCCACATGTATCAATGCTGCATTAAAAATAGCAATTCACTTTTTTTTTCTGATGAAAAGTATATGTCGTTCATTAGCAGTAACTTAGTTGATAGCTAGCAGAGTCAAGCTTAGATCTGGGAATTGGAAATATAGCTGCATCTATAGATATAAGCAGAACATGTTATTTATGAATGTGCGAAGGAAGTATTGCTCTATGATTTTCTTTTTGAGGATTTCTTGGTGTCAGTTCCTGAACGTTTGTAATAGCTAATTCATAAGCATAAAGTAGCAAAGAAGCTTCATTTTTTTTTTCTCTATTGGAATTGGTTGTACGCTCTCTTATTTAACAGTACCACCAAGTCAGAGAATTCAGAATTGTTCTCGTCATCACTAACTTCCTGACCATGCTAGTCCTAGCAGGAACTGTTTTAGTGACATTTTAGAAGAAAGATTTTGATTCTATTTTCTCAATTGTTCGCATGCGATTTATTTCAGGAAAATTATGAACTTGCAGAAGGTTTCTCTTGACTTTTTTCTGTAAAGGCCATGACATTGTTCTTTCTTTCACTTTGAAACAACTCATAGCTCACACTCTAATGATTAAAACAGTAATTTCGGACTTTCGTTATTTAGCTATAAGACTACCACTAAGCACATCTTTAACATTAATCTTGTTATCGTGTTGTTGTTTTCCCGGTCACTCGCAGGTCTATGCAGAGGCATACACATGCCCCTGCATCAAACGTCACCCGCAAGACCCAGTCTTCATCGCCCAATCACACGGGAACTACACAGCAATCTTCTCGACAAACCCGCCTTTTAAGCTCAACAAATACAAGAGGTACGAAGGTCACTGGGTCGCAGGTTTCCCAATAAAATGCAGCTTCAGCCCGGACGGAGAAACCTTAGTCTCTGGCTCGTCCGATGGTTCCATATACATGTACGGCTACAAATCCACTGAGCTCATTAAGAAGCTCAAGGCTTATGAACATCCCTGCGTTGATGTCGCATACCACCCTGTTTTGCCTAACGTGGTCGCGTCTTGTAGCTGGAACGGACAAGTCTCTGTTTTTGAGTGATCTCACAAGAACCACACAATGGTTAGTACTTAGCACCCTTCAAATCTCACTCTCACTAAATGTTATAAAAGCTATAGGTGATGCTAGAAAATGAATAGTATGGTGGATTTTGTCTAAGGTTACTGTTTGATTCCAAGATATACTACAAAAGAAAGTGACAATCTTGATCAACCATCATCTTGTTGTGCTCTTTTTGGTTCTATCTTATTTTTGAGTTTACATTCGCTATTGAGTTATCAGGAAAATGTGTTTTGCTCTCTAGGATGTGTATGTATTATGTGTGTCGAGTATTATTATTATATGTATTGACGACAGCAGAATTTGTTAGACTTGAATGAGATTTTGTTGTGTCAGTTTTTATTTTAATTATTTCTCTTCTTAGTTCTTAGTCGTTAGTGTGAGCGTGAGACTGACTCACTGACACACAAATATGTTCTCTGATATTCTCAGGGAAGTATGAAATTTCTTTTGACTTTTTTTTAGTTTGTTTTCTTTTTATTGTCTATTTTACAGAAAGTGGTCTCTATTAAATCATGAATGATATGAATTTCTTGAGAGCCAGACCAAGAAAGAAAAAGAAATGAAAAAAAGCCGTGGTAGGATTTCTATTTTTGTATGCATTACTTAATCGCCACAAATGTTAATTTAGTGAAGTCATAACTTTTTCATATTGATTTGCCATCGTCAATGTTTTGGATAAAAGAAATTGGAACAAAAGGTATGAAACATACATTAATCCAATCAGTGTGGCCACTACTAACAAGAGTGTCAGCTCAACTTTGATTTCCCACCGTTTACATATTTGTACAAGGCTATATTAGCCCAAATATCAGCTTGCAAGTAAATGAGTGGCACAATCCAGAAATCCAAACAACAAAATTATTGTGTTTCTTACCTCTTACTTACACAAGTATCAAGACCAAGATATGATCATAACTTTATATATATATATATATATATGCCATGTAAAATAATGCATATCTACAATCTCTAAAGATGCACATTTTTGGGAATTCCTCAAGTAACGGTATAAAATAGGTCATATGTTTAGTTGAACGGTAGATCACCGTATATACGGATGTTATTCGATGAGACTATTCAGCGATAGCGAATATCTTTTCTGTGAGTCACGGAGTCACGGTCACGGGAATTTTTTTATTGTATTTGAATACAAGAGAAATGAAAAATAGTCTCAAATAACATTGAAATATTAGTCACAAAGTCACATAATATTTGAAGTTAGTTTTCAAGAACAAAACTGAATCATTCTGAATCTCACGACCGGGTGATTTGGAAGATTTGAAATATACATATAAATTAGCCATTATATACAAAACAAACGTTAAACACCATATAAACATATTGTATATACCAAGTGGGTTTTAGTGTAATAACTTTGTTAAGACTCTTTAAAAGTTACGTTTCTTAGAACTTAGCCAACAAAAATTATGGACCCAAAAACTTATTGTATATGTGACCGTTTGTAATTTCTTGGTGTAGTTACACCGTATAACATAAATATTGTATGAAATTCTCACCACATACACATGCGTATATAAATATATACGTCTATACATGGATGCAAAAATTTATTTTAAAACATTCATATTTTGAAATTTGTCTCAATTTTTGGTTTAGAATATCGAAAATCCTCACTAAAGGATAATGAGATGGTGAGACATATACCTTTTCATGGGGAGCAATTGAAGAAAGAACCAACAAAAGAAAAGAAATCTCCTTATCTTTCACACCCACTCACACATAAACCATATAAATAATATTTATTGATACAATTAAAGGGATCATACATCTACGACCAAAACACACACACACACCACAACTCAACAAAAAGAGGAAACAATTATCTTTTGGAAAAAAACCCAGTTTAGAAAACATATCTATTTGAACAAAAAATAAAACAAACTTCTCTATCTTATCATCATTCATTACATTTTCTTCTTCTTCGTCTTCCCTCTTTGTCTTCTTGATCGCACTAAGTAGACAGCCAAACAGTTCATTTCCAAGACATTACTTGGTCCACAAACACAAAACCCTTTAAAGCTTATAAAGCTTTTCCATTACCAAAGTTTGTCTTCAAAATTTATAAGTTGTATTGAATGAATCTAATTATTACCTCATCTTCATTCTGCAAGGTGTCTACTAATTATTCAAATGCTCATACAGTATTCAGCTGTTCGAAAACACATCATCCTTTAAAAGACTAAGTATAGAAAACTACCTTTTCTAAATTGGTGCGAATTTATGTTTTTTTTTGTCTTCTTGGACCTCATTGCTACCTTGCAAAAATCTCTCATATTAACATTTTAAACCCTTACCAAAGAAATGCCAACTAAGTAAACGTGACATCAATATCAAATTTATATATATACATGAAGCCGAACTTTAATTATGGTTCTTGGTAAATAACGGCATGATTAGAGATATGATAGTGCTGGATTATATTTTGATCCGACCTGGCTTTAACAAGTCCATCCGGTTTTTGATAGATTAAAAATAAAACGGTGGTCGATTCTCGAGATATAAAAAGATTTGTTTGTCAAACGGTCTAAACTATCTCATAAACACAATTAATGGTAGTATATAGGATGAAATATATTCAAATGCTTTTGGAAACAAAACTAATCTCATTGTCAAAGAATAAACACTCGAAAGTTCCACCAAAATCGACTTGCGCATGACGTATGAGCATATATTTAACTTTTATAACTAGCTATAACAATGCCTAGTCCAACATTGATGTACTAAATAATAGTCAAATGTGATTTGATCCGATTTGTTTGCCGGTTAGTTTTTCCTCTCTACTTTTACATTTTTATGGTCAACCCCTTTTTCGCATATTTTCTTTAGTATAATTTCCCATTTTGAATATTAGTCAATTAGAATTGTCCAGATTAGGGTCGAATGTATGCGTCTACTATCCTTACTATATTCCTAACCTCCCGTTTTATATTTTAATATATTGTTTTGTGCAAACATATTAATGCACTCTATATGCCTAGCTATTATGCCTACATCGATACAACTCTATGTTTTCCACTTATGTCTTGAGTTTGTTCCCCACCTTCTTTGGTCTCCAACAAAAGATCTTCTCCTTTTCTTTTTTCTTTTTTCTTGTATTATAACAATCTATCATGCATCTTCTCTCAAAACTAATATAAAGGGCACTAACTATATCCAAGCTAACAAAACTTCATTGCATCATCCAAAACCTCACCATCTAAATTATTTTCCATACCCTCAACCCCACACATCCAAAGTTTTTTCAATGATGCGACAAGAATCAGCAGTATTATTATTGCTAGGACTAACTCTGTCAAAGTCCTCGCAAAGTCGTGTAAATTTGTTCATCTAATATATTATACCGCGATCCAGCCTCTAAGACCCTTAATCAAAGTTTCGACTATTAGACAACTATGTGTTTGAATGATCAACAATAGAGAAATAATATACATACAGTAATTTTTTAAATTCACAATCACCAAAAAAAGGTCTTATTCGAAATTAACTTGTGTGCTACAGCGGAAGAAACAGTCAATAAATTAACCTTGGGAGAAACATAACTATTTCAATGGATAAATGAGAGAAAGAATGAAACAACGCCATGTAAACTGAAGTGAATGACATTAAATCAGTGTTTTTATGTGACATTGGCATGTAATAAGTTAGAAGGTCTATTTTTCTCTAAAGGAAAATGATATACTTGTGGTCAAGCGAGTGTTCGATAGGTAATATGGACCCACCGGTTAGGGTTATTGGAGACATGAACCGATGGGCTTAAAAGTTCTTACGACTTAATTAAGAGTTAATTAATTTCATCACTTCTCATTGGGTATTAACTTCATGGTCTCACAACATTTTGATGCACCTTGTATGTTTATTTATTTACCAGATTAAATACCAACTTGGTTTGTTATTTGTTCTCTAATTATTCTTTCGATTAAGCAGACCCTACCTTCTAAAAAAAAGCACAACGCTCCCTAAAAGATAATATATGTTTTTTTCTTCCTAAGTCATTACAATAACTCCAGTTTTGGAGACTTCAAGTCATAAAAACGTATATAACATCTTTAAATATATTTTGATTTCCATACCACCACACATAAAATCATCAATTTTCATCCTCAATTGACCAAACATAACTAGAATGTTAACCATAACTTATTTAATATGAAATGTGTTAAGTTTTGTACATAAATTATTCGAAATTCATTCCTGTGAATATTATATCATGTCTAATTTGATTTCAAATGTAGAATTTGTTATACGTTTTTAGAAATGTAATGTATCCATAATAGGATCAACATTTTTGTTGGTTCTTTTAGTTTTGGATTATACCGATTTCTATTTGGCTTGAATCTGCGATTATTTTAAACTGGGATACTAAATTAGATTTTACAGGTTTTAAATTCAAAATCAACTGGTATAAAAAATGATTTGGTCGTGTACTTAAATCTCGTCTTAGACTTAAGATGTAAGATGAATAACAAATATATATGTACGATCAATATATATATATATATATATATGGTAATGGAAAAGAAATTCAACTTTTGTATATATACAGTACTTGTTTCTTTTGCTAATATATACATATATATGTATATATATATATGTATATATATATATATGTTACAAAGAAATTTAAGCTAGTACCTTTAGCGAGTTGTTTTGATAGTTATCTATATACAAATGTTGTAATCATGCACCCTGTTTCAATTGGTAAGGTTGTCGTCTCCCTTCTCTAACGGCCTATGATTTAAAGTAAGGTAATGCGGCTTGTCAACTTTCAAATTTTGACATCTTTTTTAGTATATAATTAGCTCAGTTTATTTATTTAATAGATTATATTTTTTTCCTTAATCATCGTTGGGTTATTATAATATAAGATTGTAAGGATCTATCTTTAGAGTTCTTTTTCGACCCATCTTATCAAACTTTCGGAATTGCTAAACACCCGTGCTTTTTATCGTGCCATTAATTCCGAACCTAAACCTAAGTCTACAATTCATGATAGTACCAGTGTTATAGTATTTAATATAAAATTTAAATAGAAACTATTAGCACTAATAACTAATTTAAAGTGGTAGTAGTAGCATGTGATTTGTGTCCATACCATCCATTCTTCATTTAGTTCGTTGTGTTATCAGCTTTGTTATGTCTTAAAGTGTCTTCCAAAAATCATTTGGTCTTGCAATAATATTGTAAATCTAATATTTTCCCGTATAAAGAAAATACCACGTTTGAAAATACATATATGATCACTTGAAGCCAAGAAAACTAAAACTCAAATGAAACAATCAAAATCAATTAGCGGGGGAAAACAAATTTGTTTACATACACCATCGTTTAAACTATGAACC